GTCCGGGAGGCAGACACCGTCTCCACATTTAAGACTAGACTTAAGACTTTCCTCTTTGATAAAGCTTATAGTTAGGGCTGGCTCAGGCTTGCCCTGTACCAGCCCCTAGTTAGGCTGACTTAGGCCTAGTCTGCCGGAGGACCCCCCTATAATACACCGGGCACCTTCTCTCTCCTTTGCTAACACTCATGTCCCGGCTTTATAAATAAAATTGATTGATTGATTAATTTGGTGACATCACTCCACTTCATGTGTCAGTGTCCTTACATGGTGTTTAGAGGGTGTTACCTATGCTGCAGGTGACTTATGATCAGGTGGGATTCAGCTCTGAGCTCAGCCCGGTCAGAGCAGATTTAGAAGCTAATGTTGAATTTGCTTATTTTGTCTCCTGACAGAAAATGAAAAGACAGTGAGAGAATGTTGCTGCACAAAGTTTTGCAACGTGTCCTGTGAACTCTCTTTTCAGTGTTGGATCAGTCTGGTGAATAAAAAAAGAAAGCCTGTACAAAAATCTCCTGACCAACCTCACACCTCTCTAATTCAGTCGTGCCTGATACCTGTGATTTTATTTTATGGCACAGGTGTGGACGATGTTCAGGCCACTGCCTCTTGAGCAGTGAGGCGAAGTGTCGTTACCTCTGGTGAAGTGGCGGTGCTGAACGCCTCGTCCACCACAAACTGCCTGAACACAGAGACATTGATCAAACAGGACACAGCGTTAAGGGAGAACATAGTTAACGTTTATTTAAAGGCTGATTCCACCAGTTTCTCAAAGTCTACAAAGAGACAGAAACACAAAAAGCCTCACAACTCAAAGCTCAGGTTCATGTTTCCTGTCAGACGTGAGCGCGACTCTGCCGTCAGAGCTCCGACCAGCGAGGAGCCGCCGCCGCCTCCAAACCTCCCCAACATCTCAGAGTGGAATGTCCATTTAGTTCTTACTCCAAAAAACAAAGCCAGTCACCAGCTCCGTCTCTCCTCCGCTGGCCTCGTGTCCTCACATTCATTATTTTATCTTTATTATTTTTCAAATACATTTTGTAAATGCAACATGAAAAGCACAATCACACGGAAAATAGACACGTCTCTTTGAAGTCGATAAAACACCCTCAACTGGAAAATAAAAACAGGCTTTCACGTTTTTTTTTTTAATCCCTCAGAACTAAACGATGAGTGTTGAAGGTAGAAAAACAGCTTTCTGCTGGTTTCAGCTGGACAGAAAGTTACTTAGAGTGCTGCAGTCTAAACCGTCACCTCTAAAGACGCTGGAGCCTCTGAGCGTCACTCTCTGCTTTCTGATTGGCTCGAGAACAACCAGGACTGACGGTAAATGCTCTACAGGGATGAAACCACAGAATAAAACCTTGTTTCCACCACAGGAACCTTCCAGACACTCAGGAACCTTTTAAAGGAACTTTACATTTAGTTCCTGGACATAAAAATAAAACAGTCTCTGCCCAGGAGCTGTTGGGGTGCTGCGGATCATTAACGCAGAAATAAATTAGTGAGAACACTTTTCACTCTCACAAACCAAACGCAGGAGCAGAGAGCTGAACATGAACCATCTGATGGTTCCAGCCGCTCAAATATAAAACAAACGCTGCTTTTCTGTGTCATACGTGACAGCTCTCTAAATCAGACGTCAAGATTTCAAAATGATTTTCAGACATTTTACGGACAAGAGTCGACCGACAGAAAAAGATTTTGATCATCGATTTATCTCTGGAGATTATTTTCCAAACAAATGTGACAAAAACTCACAAGTTCCAGTTTATTAAAACGTGAATATGTCCTGGTTTTCCTTCCTTCACCAGCAGTCTGAATATTTTCTGAGTGTGACATCATCTCAGGCTGCTCTGATGTTTCATAAACCAAACGATTAACCAGTTCATCAAGAAAGTAACGGGAAGATGAACTGATGATGAGAATAATGTTTAGATGCAGCCATGAACAACAAAGACTCTGTGTTGTTGTTCGAGTCAAAATTGTTTCAGGACGAACCAACACGTCCTCATCCTCGAGTCGTCGCATATCGCCGCTTCAGTGGACTTTCACATCTACATATTTTGTGTGACACACAGGGACGTTGACAAAAGCACGTTTAGGTTAAAAACCAAAATCACCACCCTGTGGTTGTATGACTCCGCCCACCAGTCCACCCTGTGGTTGTATGACTCCGCCCACCAGTCCACTCTGTGGTTGTATGACTCCGCCCACCAGTCCACCCTGTGGTTGTATGACTCCTCCCACCAGTTCACCCTGTGGTTGTATGACTCCGCCCACCAGTCCACCCTGTGGTTGTATGACTCCGCCCACCAGTCCACCCTGTGGTTGTATGACTCCGCCCACCAGTCCAGTGTCTCTGACAGTCTCCATCCATGTCAGTGAAAACATGGATGCTTCACACACAGAAGATCTATACAATCAGCACAGTTTCAAGATTAGAGTCACCAATTCAGTATCTGACCAAATGTCTCCCCTTCTGTTCCTGAGATATGACGTTAAAACATGGTGATGTCACAGTCAAGCTGACCTTTGACCTTTTGACCTTTTGACCTTCATTATTTTATCCTGTCAGACATTTATGTCAAGTTTGGTCAGAATTAGTGAATGAATTCTTCAGTTATGGACAAAAACATGTTTTGGGAGGTCACACTGACCTTTGACCATAAAACTAATCAGTTCATTCTCAAGTCCAAGTGGACGTTTGTGCCAAATTTAAAGAAACTCCCACCTCAGTGTTCTTGAGATACCACATTCAAGACAATGAAACAGACAGGATTACAGTGACCTTTGACCTCTGACCACCAAATTCTGATTAGTTCATCTCTGACTGAAAGTGTACGTTTGTGCCAAATTTGAAGAAATTACAGAAGGTGTCCTTAGGATACAGGAAAAACTTTTCAGTTCATTGTTGAGTCCAGGTGAAGGTTTGTGCCAAATTTAGAAAATTTCCCTCAACGTATTGTTTAGATGGCAGGTTCACAAGAATGGAACGGATGGACTGACGGACGGACAACCAGAAAACATAACGCCTTCATCCTCAGCTGTTGCCGGCACGGAGGCATAAAAACCATCACAGTTTGGCTCTGCATACGTACAGGGAGTGAACACTGAGCTCTCCGCCCGCCCCATAGGGACTTTTCAGCTCCTGAACATGCTGTTACTGACAGGAAGCTTTTGGCATCGGTGTCTGACGTCAAAATCACTGACAAAGCTGTGGTATTTGACGACTTTGGAATGAGAACAGGCTGAACTGCTTCGTTTTCATCAGACGTGTCAAAATGAGATCATTAATTAATCTTTTTTTTTTCCCCAAATAAAATAATTAGATGGTTTCACCTGCTCAAATATGGAAAGAAAACTTTGCCGCACTTTGTCATACGTGACGATTAACTGACCTAGAACGACTTTAAAATTACTTTCTGACATTTTACAAACGAAAGTCAACCGATGTGTGAATATATTCTCACACTGAATATCTTTTGGACTGCTGATCAGACAAAACCCGCCGTCTGGAGACGTCATCTTGGAGCCTGTCACACTTCTCGGATGTTTCATAAGCTAAACGATTAATCAGTTGATCACAAAAATCATGCAGAGATGAGTCGATGATGAAAATAATCTTTAGCTGACGGAGTGAAAACTGTTTCAGGAGTAACTGCTTCATGTTCATGGTTCATCAGACGTGTCAAAATGTGCCTGTACAAAAAAACAAGGGGGAAGGGAGGGCTTTTAGCTCCTGAGTTTGGCCCTTGCGGTTCTCCGTAGTTCCTTCAGGTTCAACAGTTCAGGGTTTCAGTTTCAGACCAAATAAAATCAGAGCCGCAGAGCTTCCTGACGCTACCGTTGATAAAAAAATCTGCTGTACAGGGTGAGCTGCAGTAGTGGTTACTGAAGAACAGATAAGTGGGAAACATTCAGGCTGAGCCAGCTACCTGTATACACCTGTCTGTCTGTCTGTCTGTCTGTCTGTCTGTCTGCGGCCTAACCTCTACAGCGGTCAGTAGTAAGGGGACAGTGAGCAGGCACAGCAGAGCCCACAGAGCTGCTTCACACTAGTAAAAAGGCAGAACATGAACATAAAGAAACAGTAAATGCAGGTTAAGTAAGCGAGCAGGGTTACATTGGGTTTTTTTCTTTGTTAAGTAAAGAAATAACAGGAAGAAGAGGCCGGAGAGGAAGAGAACCCCGAAAATATTCAAGCAGGAAGCTAATAGACATACCTGTATTCACCTCAGAGGGCGTGAAGCTAAAACTGCTACGAACAAATCACAAAATACAGTTTGTTTTTTTTGTTAATATCTGCGATCTCAAGAAGCTAACGGTAATACTATCCCTAAGTTTGACGGGGTGTTTATGTCCTTAGCCCCCTTCCCTTGTACTTCTGTCTTTCCCGTGACCTTTCCCGAAGCCGTCCCGTCGGCGGGCCTCCGGGCTCTTCCTTCAAATCAGGCGGGACAGCAAGCGGTCGGTCAGGTGACGTTACACACCTGGCTTCACAAAGCAGCGTCCAGTCCTGATTCTCACGACATGGCTAAGAGACATGGCCCCTTTAGTCCAACTATGGCAATATATATTTATTTATATATTTATATAGCTGTAACCCAAACTGTCCTCCTGTCTTCCTTCATTAAACCAACCAGCTACAGAGAGCCTTCCTCCTCCTCCTCCTCCTCCACAGTAATGAAAATGATTGGAGAGATCAGAAAGTCCAGTCTATGTTGACCCCCGGCGCTTCACCTGACCTCCCCCCTAAACCCGACCACCACACTGTCCTCGCTCTCTCACATCACCCCCGCTTCAGTCTGCGGTGGCAGAGACGCTAAAAACAGGCGCTCCGACCGGACCGAGCAGACGTCCAGGAGGTCGCTTTATTTTTTATTTTGTTCCAAAGAAAGAGGAAGTTCTTCCAGCTGAGAGAGGAGTGGTGGAGGTGTGGCGTCTGTCCAAAACCAGGGGGGGGCCTGTGGTGGTGAGGGGGGGTGTGTTCCTCAATGTTCAGATTTTCCGCGGGTTGAAGGAAACCCGGCGGTGGCGTGGCGCGTGGCACCGCGGTTGAAGAGATCCCGCGCCCTCCGGTCCAGGAGGGGCGTCACCGCTCCTCGACAGCCGAGGGGGGTGGGGGTGGTGTTTCAGCCTCGTCGGGGGGTCGTGTCGCCTCCCCAGCCTCCACCTTTTCTCGCCGGTTTAATTTCCCATTTTTAGTTGGAGCTCGTCTTCGTCAAACTTCTGTTTTTTTTCTCCTCCCATTTTTTCTCCTGGTGGTGGTTTTGTTGACGTCCGGACACAAAGCGCCGCCTCGGCCTGCCGTTCAGTGGGGCGGGTTCATGGTGCCGTGACCTCGCTGCTGCTTCTGTTTCTGCTGCAGGAGGAGCTGCTCCAGCGCCGACGGGCCTGGCTGCATCATGGAGCTGGACCAGATCGACTGCAGGAGAGAAGCAAGTGTGAGCACAATGCAGGATTCATACAAACACCACAAAATCAAATCCAAGGACTTTTTCATTTTCAAGGATTCATTAACACATTAACAGGACAGAGGGATGTCGTATGCTGTAAAGCCCTGTGAGGCAAATTGTGATTTGTGATATTGGGCTTTATAAATAAAATTGATTGATTGATTGATTTTTAAATAGAATTTTTATTGAACTTAAGACAAAGACGTGATCACTGCCGGTCGTTTCTGTCAAAGTTTTACCGCTGAGCTCGGCCAGTGGAGTCCTCCTGCCCGCCCCCCAAGATTCTAATATCAACCCCACATGAGACGGAGAGGCCGCGCCGTGCTGCCTGATATCAGACAAACTGTCAACTCGTCAGAAAAAGGACTTTACATTATGAAGAAATGAAAAACAACTATTTGTAGCTCAAGGGAATGATGCCAACGATTCCATTTTTCACAGCGCCGCTAAAGAGAGAGGAAAACAAACAAAAATGAAAAGCCAGCTTAAGTTCTGCCACGTCAATAAACATCCTGGCTTTGCTGGAGTTTTAGTGAGTGAGTGAAACAAAGTAAAAACAAACTACAATGTCGGGCCGGATGTGATGAAGACGAGGAAGAACAGAGAGGGAGTGTGCACCACTGCCGAGATGGTGACACATCAGAATTAATTGAAACCACAAAATATCTCCATACTGCTCGTCCGTAGTGATCCACGTGTCCTGAAGCCCCGACATAAAAAGTTGTTTGGAAAAACCTCATTTGAACTCTGTTTTTAGCCTCATTGTAGCCTGTAGCTCTGACTGCCTCTCTGGGCACCGCGCTCACGTGTGTGCGCTTGCGCGAGACCTTGAGACATGGGCACTGCCTTCATGTGTGTTCACGTGCTTTCACTGGTCTCGTGCACAGACAATTAGAGGCAGTCAGAGCTACAGGCTACAATGAGGCTAAAAACAGAGTTCAAATGACGTTTTTCCAAACAACTTTTTATGTCGGGGCTTCAGGACACTTGGATCACTACAGACGAGCAGTATGGAGATATTTTGTGGTTTCAATTATGTGTTTTTGGACGTTTGAATCTGGGGCGCCGTCAGCCTCCATTAGGTGGAGTTGTGTTGCTACCTCCTCTCCCCTTGGATCTCTGCAAGTGATGTGAGGACTCTAAAACTTCACCTGAGCCTCCCTCGGCATATGGGTGAGTAGATAATGGCTGAGTTTTCAGTTTTGGGTGCACTATCCCTTTAAACAGGATTTCTACATCTGCCTCAAATTTGTCGCCGTAGCTGTGGCGTAGGCTCTGCGTCAATGTAGAGCCTACGGTGTAGCCTGACGTGCACCTCCCCAGAAATGTAACTCCACAGTGTCACAGTGACGCAGACCTCCTGTCTGTCTCTGTGAGCTGAAACCATTTCCCTCAGTGGAAACAAAGCTTTGATTTACTTTAATTTCACAGATAAGAAACAATAAATTGTGAAGACAATAAAGCCTCCACACACTGTGTGTGATTTATCCTGGCTGAAATATGAGCAGAGGAAATCTCTGCTAGCTGCTAGGCTAATTTATACAGTGTAAAATGCCATAGGGTTGTGCTAATAACGTTAGCATGTTGTATTTGTGGGGAAAACGTGTTTAGTATCAGACAGTTGTTTTGTCAGTGAACCTTGTGAGCTGTAATGGAGCTGAATTCTGTAACGTTACCTTTGTTAAATGTTGCTGTTGTCCCTGGTTTTATATGTGTAGAGGAAAAGTCTGCTAGCTGCTAGGCTAATTAATACAATGTAAAATGCCATAGGCTTGTGCTAATAACGTTAGCATGTTGTATTTGTGGGGAAAATGTGTCCAGATAAAGACAAGTGTTTGTCTGTGAATGCTGTGAGTTATAGTGAAGCTGATTTGTGTTTGAAACTGTCTCTATGAAGCCATGTTTAATGTGTGTTTAATGTGTGTTTAATAAACTAAACTTTACAGCACTTCACAGAAACCTACAGAGTGACACAGACACACCATCTCACAAGTATAAAGGCTCACAACGGCGGCGTCTGCAGCACAAGTATAAATTCCGCCTTTTGTGGTTCATTTGAATTTGAAGACACTCTGTTGAAGAGGACGCTTATTTCAGTCTGGTAAAAATAATCCCCTCTGACACTGTGAGTGTATCTACAGATGTCTCATCATCAGACATCAACATCAGACCTCAGATGAGTTATGATTCAGACTCAACTATCGATCTTATTTAAATAATTAATAAAAAATAACAATTCATATTCTTAGTGCAGTGATGACTGTGACGACAGTAAACCATCTCACTCTGCAGCAGACTGAGACAGTAAACAGTGACATGACAGGACGTCAGCGGACCTTGAGGCTGTCGAGCAGCACGGTGGAGGACGACTCCTCCATCGGAGACTCCTGATTGGTCCAGGAGCTGCCGGTCGGCCCCGCCTGGTGCCAGCTGGTGTCTGAAGCTGCAGAGGAAGCTGCAGCCGGCAGGTAGTCCAGACCGAAGCCGCTGACCGCTCCTGAAAAACAACACCAACATGTCAACATATGGAGGCAGAGCTCACAGGAAATTCAACCCTTTGAACGCAGGGCTTATTTCCTGTCTCCCAGCAGAGCAGCAACACGACTCTGACAGTCACACCACATATCAGGATCCTCAACAGGTATCAGCCTCCTCACAGATTACATCAGTCTGCCTGTGAGTTGTACCGTACACGCTGTGGGACAGTGGTTTATCAAAAGATAGATTCATATATTAATGTTTGATACAAGCAGGACGTATGATGTTGCCATGGAGACAGTGAGTTAGCTGTGTGCTGCACGTTGAGAGGTCATGTTGAATAAACGTTAAACATTTAACAGTGACCGTTGATCAGTCGTTGTGATTCTGTCCCGTTTCAGGAGAAAAAAAAATGTTTTACATCTTTAAAAAATTATTTCAGTTTCTTTTTTCTCTGCTGAGCTGAAGCTGAATGTTTCTGACCTGTTAACTCACACTTCACTTCTTCATCTCAGGATTTAAACCGTCCCTGAAGACCCTTTAGACCCTCTGGACCCCGTCAACACAGCCCCTCTGGTTCCTCTAAACCCTGTCCTCCTGAACCCTCTGGACCCTCTGAATCAAGTCCCTCTGGATCCCTCAAAACCCTCTGAACCCTTGGGACCCTCTCAACTCCCTAAATCCAGTCCCTTTGCCCCCTCTGGACCCCCTGAATCCAGTCCCTTTGGACCCTCTGGATCCTTTGGACCCCCGGCCCCTCTAAACCCTCTGAACCCTCAGGACCCTCTCAACTCTGCCCCATCTAGACCCTCTGAACCCTGCCCCTCTTCCTGCTCTGGATCCTCTGAACCCTGTCCCTCTGAATCCAGTCCCTTTGGGCCCTCTGGATCCTCTGAACCCTGTCCCTCTTAATCCAGTCCCTTTGGGTACTCTAGACCCTCTGAACCCTGCCCTTCTTCCCCCTCAACTCCTTAAATCTAGTCCCTTTGACCCATCTGGATCCTCTGAACCCTTACCGGTCTTGTCGGCCTTCCAGCGGTCCACCACCCTGCGGTCCCGACTGTCCGGAGTGCCAATGGGCCCGAAGTTAGAGAAGGGCATGGCTCCGTGGTTGTGTGTTGGAGGGGACGATGGCAGGCTGCTGGGGTTGGAGGAGTGAGGGGATTGGCTGGCCGGGGTGGAGTGATCTGCCAATCAGAACACAGCTTTTCAACTCAGAGCCTGGTTCTGTACTGAATATAAATATCTACCATATTCAGATGTGCACAGGTGGGACGTACCTGAGCTGGCAGGGAGGGAGGGGGACCAGGGAGTCCCTTCAAACAGGGAGTAGAGGGAGGGCTCCTGGTGCATCATGGGAGCGTCAGGCTTGGAGCTGGGCGGCAGGTTCTTGCCGTAGGCCTGGCTGAAGATGCTGTTCTGGTTGTACTCCTGAAACAAAGACAGAACATTACAGGTCTGATTGATCAGGTACTTGTTTATTTATTAATCTATAAAAACAGTTAGATTGTTTAGATTGTTTTTTAATAAAAATATCACAATATTTATCAATGCTGTGAATTAATATTACAGATAAGACAGATTTGATGCATGAGGCCGACCTCTACACATGTTGTCAGTGTTCAGGGAACAAATACAAGGTGACAGAAACTCAAATATCTAAATCATTTTCTTTACCTGGAAGCTGCAGCCTCAACCTGACCGAGACACTCAACTTATCATACCAACACCTGAATCCACAAGTTTTGATATGGTGTTTTAAAAGCTTTAAAATCAGAAAATAAAATGTTAAACTTTGTCAGACGTACAGAAGCACCTGACCCCAAAGTCTTTGGACAAACTTTGCCATCTGGTGGTTGAACAAGGTCACAACAATCTTTACATTTCATTAATAACTTCAGTCAGTCTGTTAAACACTGACTCACAGAGCGCTGCTCAGGGTTATCTGAATTTATGAAATGGAAACAAAAAGTGTTTGATGTGAATATCCTGCGTTATCNAGTCTGTTAAACACTGACTCACAGAGCGCTGCTCAGGGTTATCTGAATTTATGAAATGGAAACAAAAAGTGTTTGATGTGAATATCCTGCGTTATCTGATCATGACGGGTTCCAGGTTTGAAAAAATACTGTTCAGAAGTTCAGAAATCTCCTGAGGTGTTCGACTCCGACACACACACACACACACACATATACACACACACACACACACACACACACTAGGGCATTAACGACTTTTTTTCAGGTCAACTTATCTGTCAATAAAGTCGAAGTTGAGTCGACAAGTCATTTGATGACGTCATCACACTGACACGGCGGAGGAAAGTGAAGTATCTCCACACGTGATGTGTGTCTGAAGGCCCGAACATACTCGGGTGGAACGTACGCGGAACGGACTCTGCGGAGGTCCACGCGGACTCAAAGCGGACGTCCGCAAGCCCTGTGCGCGCGAAGCTCAGATTTTATGACCACGCCGCGCACCAGTGACTGCTCAGCATGTATTTTTCACATCGCAGGGATTTTTCACAGACATTTTTACAGGAAACTACAACGCGGAAGTGCTCTGGACTATGAAAGCCCGAATGACTGCTGACATTCCTCGCGGAGTCTGCTCCGCTAATAGTACGCCCGAGTATGTTCGGGTCAAGGATAAAGTTTCAGTGTAAGCCAATCAGAGGCAGCGATTGCATTCCATACACAAGCACACACAGAGAGAGAGAGGGAAAAAACACACGACTTGTCGACTCCTCCCAGGGGGTGTCGACTTGTGCCACTGACGTTGACACGTCAACAAGTCGACTTTTCTGTTAATGCCCTAACACACACACACACACACACACACACACACACACACACCTGCAGGTTTAAACAAAATCTTTGGAGAGAACTTTTCAGGTGATGGTCTGACCTGCATGGGGAAGCCGGACATGGGCAGGAGAGAAGATGACTGGCTGACGACCTCGGGGCCGCTCTCCATCCTGGTCTGGTTTGGCAGCTGCAAAGATGAAGCACAGACGACAAACATCACACCACGTCCAACTGTGATCTGTTTTATCCTCTAACACCGTCCACCATGTGCAGCTGCAGTCTGTGATTTATATACACGTCCAAATTAAAGGTCTGTGACATCAGTGTGGCTGGTTTCAATCTTATCTGCTCAGATCTGCTGCTCAGTGTGTAAACATGTATTAATGGAGCTACGCTCAGTATTCCAGACGCATTCGAATGCATCAAGCACCTGCAGCTGTTTCACAGTGAAATCCCTCCAGCTGAGGGGAAGGTGACCAAAACAAGTCATGGAGCTGGAGCAACTTTTACTGTGAAGCAGCTGCAGGAGAGGGGGAGGTCTTTATTTCTACACTGTTGGTTAAAGCAGAAAAACCCTGAGGGTCACTTAGATGTGTCTCGAGTGTCGAGGACATTATGTTTAATGAGCATTTACAGCATCAGTATTCTGACTGTCGACAGAAACCTCAGACAGGATATTTTTATACGTTTAGAAACTCTTAACTGATTTAGATCTGCTGCTGCTAACTCTTCATCATCTTTTACATCTCAGGGCTCCATTTCAGATTTCTCATCTCTGATTTGTAGCTGTTTGATGCTTTTGTCTGTTCCTGTGTTTGGATTCATTGTCAGTCATCACGTAACTGTTTAAAGTCATTCAACATGTGATTAAAACCACAATCTGAAGGATAAGCGTCTGCTCACTGAGTCAGCTGTCAGAACTTACACTTTATATTTATGGGTGAAGGAAATATAACTCCCTCATCATCTAGTCATTCTCATGTCAGTACACACTGCGGCAAAGTTACGAATTTGACTTTGCCACTTTTTTTAAGAGGGACTGGATTTTGCATCTTTGTAACATCTAAACTGAATAATTGAGAGTTTCGTCTGGTAAATTATGAACAATGACCGAGTCACAGCTGTGTTACTCTGCACAACAGGGATGGGCATTTTATGTCACTTCCATATTCGAGTACTTGCACTGAATTATTATCAGATTATTGATGGATCTGTGCAGATATTCATAGACAACAGTTACATCATTGCATTAGGTCCAAAAAATATAAACCTTTAATAAAGAACAGGGTCAATTTATGGTTTTACATATATTATGATGTGACAGTAGGGATGGGTATCATTAAGATTTCATCAATACTACTGATCGACCTGGTGCTTTATCTGGACTCTTATCGGTTGCTTTTTAGAAAATATATTAATTTTAAAAATAATAAATTCAGAACAGGATTATTGAATATTTTAAAAAGAACACAGTGTTGTCACTGTGTAAATAATATTACTGACATCAATTTACTGAGTGAAGTTAGGTATTTATCAGTCAGTCCTCCTGTCCTCTGTAATTTCCATCGAGTCAAGTAATTTTCAAGTTATCTTCTACCACGGCCGCTCCGCTGTTCACTGACTACGGTGG